CAGGGGAGGGTTTTGAGCAGAGGTGGGACATAGTCTGATTTATAGTCTAACCAGATCCCTCTGGCTGCGTGGACAAGACTGTGATTAGGGCAAAGGAGAAAGCAAGGAGTCCAGTGAGGAGGCTGGTTCGGGATACCAGGCAAGAGATGGGCGGGGGAGGGGGAAGGTGGACGGGACCACGAGGGTGGCCATTGAAAAGGTGAGACGTGATAGGACACAGGACCCATTTTGGAAGTAGAGCCAACGGGGATAAGGGATATGAAGTTATGGGGGAAAAGAGGAGCTAAAGATGACCAACAGGTTGTTGGCCTTTTAATCACACGAGATGTGAAGATGTGGGGTGGGCAACAGGCTTGGAAGCACTGCGGAAACAGGAATTCATGTTTAGGCATGCCAAGTTTGACGTACCAGTTAGACATTCCAGTGGAGATGACAAGGAGGCAGCTAGACATCGGTCTGGCAACACCAGGTTGGAGATGCGGACTTCAGAATCCACAGCTATGTTAAGCAGAATTCTAAGATGGCTCCAAAACTCCCCCCGCCCCATGGTGTGCATGCCCAACATAACCTGCTACCCTCCGTGTGCGTGAGACCAGTGAGTATGATGGATGTCATTCTTGATTTTCGGTGACATTATATGGCAAAGGTGAAGAGATTTTGCAGATGTGATTAAGGTCCCAAATTAGCCGAGTTTTAGTTAATTAGAAGGGAGACTTCCCTGGGTGGTCCCGATCTAATCAAGTGAGTCCTTTTTTTTTAAATTTTTAAAATTTTTTTATTATTATTATGATATGTTAATCATCATACATTACATCATTAGCTTTTGATGTAGTGTTCCATGATTCATTGTGGAGGTTCCTCAAAAAGTTGAAAATAGAGCTACCATACGATCCAGCAATTCCACTACTGGGTATTTACCTCCAGTCAGTCCTTTAAAAGAGAGCCTTCCCTGGGGCACCTGGCTGGCTTAGTCACTAGAGCACGTGACTCTTGATGTTGGGGTCAGGAGTTCCAGCCCCATGTTGGGCACAGAGACTACTTACTTACTTACTTACTTACTTAATAAAAGCCTAGGTGCCACTCTGTGAGAGAGCCTGGGAAGACAGACACTGGGAGTGGCCCTCAGGATTCAAGAGTGGCACCCCTGACAGCCTGGGAGATCTTGAGCAGAGAACCCAGCTAAGGCATGCCTGGATTCCTGGCCCACAGGACTGAGACTGACACAATAAATGTGTGTTATTTTAGGCTGATACATTTGTGGCAATTTGTTACCCAGCAATAGATAACCAACACCTCAGCGTATACCTGTTTTTAAAGCCTTGGAACCAAGATGGTTCAAATAGCCCAGGTATGGGATCCCATGGGGATGAGTCAATGACTGCATGAACCCAGTGAGATTGGAGTGGGACACACCCCACCCCCACCCTCAAATGCTTCCTATTTCTTTCAGCCTCTAGGTGTCCCCAGAGTCCACATAAGCAGGTCTCTCCCCACCTTTTCCAGGTCAGAATCCATTTCCTTCTGAAATGGGAAGCACTAAGTAACAATAAATGGTCTCTCTTCTGTTCCTACTTTCCCCTCCAAAACTTTACATATGGGGAAACTGGGGCCTGCAAAGGAGCCCTGCCCAAGGTGCCACAGCGATCTAGGGCTATCCCTAGCCAGGCACTTTACCCACCCACGGCATTCTGAAGGACAAGAAGACTGACCACCTCCCTCTCTCCAGCTTTGACCAGGGGAGGGATCTGCAGTCACAGGTAGGCTGAGGCTGCAGTTTCTCATTGATGCCCACTGGAAAGGGTGCAGCCCTGAGGCAGGGGCTGCCGGCCCGTGTGAAGAGAAGAGACCCCTCCAAAGGTCAGGGCCATTAGAAGTGCCCAGCTGCGGGTCCCTCTGACCCCCTCACACCCTCCGTTGCAGACTGAGTTCCCCGAAAACAGACGCTGAGACAGAGTCTGGGGTGCAAGATATTTATTAGGTATAAACACCTGTGAAAAGAAGAGGGAGGAAGCAGGATTGGGTACAGGGGGTCAAACTGCACTACAGGCCTGGCAGAGCCTCGGCCACCCTGGAGGGGCCCTGGGTGGGTGTCTGAAGGGGGAGGTGAGGGCCCCCACCCTGAACCAAAATGGCCAGGCGTTTGTTTATATACCTGATCTCCCTGGGACACCAGATGCAGGCTGCCCTGGGTCAAGGGGCTCTCGGCAGCTGGAGGCTATCCACTGACCATAACTTCTCACAGCCAGGCAAGTCCTTCCTTCACGGGGGTTCTGGTGGCACCTAGCTCTTTCTCACCTTCTCAATTCTTTCCTAGAGGATTTTTTTTGGGGGGGGGGAGGACATCCTGCTTTCAATCAGAGGCGGAGAGAGAACGGTCACTATAATTTTTGCACCTTCCTCAACCAGACCCCCTTTCTGTAGGAACCCAGCCCTCCCAAACCTGCTATAGTCTTTTAAATTGTCTGTGGGTATCTCAGTCCCCAAACACCCTCTCTGAATGAGGTCTGCACACTTGGCCTTGGTTCTTACTGGGGAAACAGGCTCTGTTCAACCTTAGGAATTCACTAGATCTGGCGGTGGAGGGATTAGGGGGAGGGGTGTCAGGGGAAGAAAGTTTTGGAAAGGCCTTCCTGTTTCCAAAACATGCTGGTAAGAATCTCAAGGACAGGTATCCGCTGTGGTTGCCGTTGCTCTTCTTTAGTTATTCAGTAAATCTACAGTGAGGGCCCATTATGTGCCAGACACCGGGGCCAACCCCCCCACCACTGGGGGCCCTGAGCGGACAACCTAACACCATCTGCAGATTCAAACAGGGAAGGAGAGGCAGCACCCTGACAGAACGCTCCACAAGGAGAGAGAGAACCAAAATGTGGGGCCCTGACTCTGACCTTGGCTGCTTGCAGGCCCTCCTACAGGTTGCTTCGCCACTCTGACCCTGTTTCCTCTGGACAATGGAGTAATACACTTTGGGAAGCATCTTATTAAATGCTTCTCACCTCGAACTTCATTTCACCCTGAAGCAGGTATTGCTACCGTCCTCATGTTACTCCCATGAAAAGAAGAGTCAGGGTGAAGTGAATTTGCTCAAGGTCACACAGGTGCTCAGTGGTGGTCGTACGGGGGCTTTTGAGCCCAGACAATGTGGCCCGACTCTTTTCACTTCTCATTAAGGGCGGGGCCCAACTGCCCTCCCCCCCCCCGCCCCCCGGACCAGGTATACCTGCATGCTTATTTCATTCGGTCCACAAGGATTTAAAAATATTTGAGTCAGCTTTCATTTTCCAATTGAGATGTTCATAGAAACATCCAGATTTCTACCTTCTCTTGAACAATCTGCCCACTGTGGGCCGCATTCCCACAAGGTCACGACTGGCCTGAGGTGAACAGCTGCCCGCCTTGAGGTAGGTCACGAAGCCAGTGTCGAGCCAGACTCTCTCATTTATGTCACATGCCTGGCCCTGCAGGGATGAGTTTGTCATCCTTAATGAAGACCAGGGAGGCCTGAGCTAGAGGGAGCCAGAGGACCCCCCTGCTCTTCCTGCACGGTGCTAAGTCACATGGATGTCCCTCTGGCAAACTGTCTGGGGGAGGGTTGAGGAAAGGCAGAGACATGTAGAACCACAGGGCAAGGTCGGGGCAAATACACTTTATTCAGTCCTGGCATCAGACTGGCGGAGTCCTGCTGTGGGTGCCAGTGCCCCAGATCAGAGGGACCCCTCCCCTCAGCTACTAGACTAGTTCTCCAAGACCACAGACAGTGACATCTCTTCACTCACATGACGTTTTCTGGGTTTTTTCATTGTCTTTTTGTTGTTGTTGTTTTTCTTAAAAAAAAAAAAAAAAAAAAAAGAAGAGAAAAAGAGAGAGAAAGAGAAAGACAGAGAGAGAGAGAGAGAGCGCGAGAAAGGCCCAGAGCCGGAGCACCAAGCTTAAAGGAGGCAGCTGGTGGCTTTGTCAGCGACGGGAACGCGTGGGGCAGAGACCTGCGGAGACCCTGGGCAGGGGTCCAGGAGGACTCTGGGACCGTTTGTTCCTGAGATTTGTGTGTGTGTGAATGAGAGTGTGTGCACACCCAGGAGGGTGAACACACGCCGGTGAGATACAGGTAGTGAGGGCAGAAGGGGGCGTGGCGAGGCCGGAGGGGCGGGACTTGAGCGGAGACTTGGGGAGCAAGGGGGCAGGGTCCCCGAGGGCACCCCGGAACTGAACACAACCTCCTCAGACAGCAGCGCTATCCCGAGTTTTCACATGGAAAAACAGGCGCAAACGGCACACCTCCACTACACTGACCCTCCCTTCGGTCTCACTGGCCCAGTCCATAGTCTCTCTCACCAGCTGTTTAAAAGTGGGGCTCTTCTTGCCACGCCGGCTGCTATCATGCCTCAGTCTCAACACCCCCCACCCTGTACCAACGTGCCTCAGTTTCTCCCACTGAATACTGTCACTGTGGGCACAGGACTTGAGTGACAGAAAGGAGTGGTGGGCGTAGGGAGGAGCCCAGGCTGGGAGTGTGCCTTGACGTGATGGGGCACTTGGAGGGCGGTGGGGAGCAGCAAGAACCCTGTCCCCAAATAGACTGATAAAATGCCTTGGTTCGGAGTTTCCTTGGGCAGTCCTCTCGTGGTGCAGTTCCAGATGAAGACCCTATTCCCAGTTCCCAGGTGGGGGAAAGAAAAGGGAGGTTTCTGGGACCAAAGTAGACTGTGGAGGCAGTCTAGCGGTGTGTGTGCAGGCGGGGATGAAGGGGGGGAGGAGGAGGAGGTGCACGTCAGTCTGGGCAACCCCGCAAGGAAAAGGGGGTATGCCACCAGGGAGAGTTCCAAGCTCCAAACCAAACCCTTCCGGGCCAGCTAGTCTCTTTCTCCCCCTTCCTAGTGCTCCTCCCATTAAGGCAGTGACGCCCCGTCGGGTTGAAAAGAAGCCGCGGCTCCCGGATCAAAAGATTTCTCAGGATCGCTCAATACCCGCCCCACTTCTTCCCGGAGCGGGCCACTGAGACGTGCGGTTCGACTGGGACCGGCCCCCTCCTCCCAAGAAGTATTAAGCATGCGCGAGAAGGGGGCGGGCCCCAGCGCTCGGGGAAGGGGAGGAGGGGGGCATGGGAGGAGCGCGCAGTGCCGCTCAGCCGCAGCGCCCCCCTAAACAAGAGAGGAGGCGGGCTAGGCGAAGGCGGAGGGATTCAGGAGCAAGGGCAGGGGCGTGTCCTCCGGCCACGAGGAGGGGCGTGTGCGAGGTGGGGGAGGGGTGCAGGTCTGTAGGAGTGGACGTGAGGTGTAAAGGAGGGGGGCTGGCTGCTGGTGGCTGTGCGGGAGGGGGCAAGACGGGGCGGGGCTTGGGTGTCAGGGAAAGAGTGGGGGTTGGGCTGCCTTGGGGTGTGTCTGCGGGGGAGGGGCATGTCTGGATTTGAGGGGGATGGGCACGTCTAGGAGGGGGGGAGGCTGCGCGGGAGATGGGGTGCCAGCCTCGGCCTCCGAGGGGCCCCAATACCTGATTCCTGTATGTAAACAGCTGGTTTGGGGGCGTGCGCGCCCCGCTGACGGTGGGCTCAGTAGGTGAAAACCAGGTCGGCGATGCTAGACGGGCGCCAATCCCCCGCGATCATCTCGGTAACCTCGGGGGTGCAGTAGTCCGGGAACTCGAAATGCGACGTGCCCGAGGGGGGCGGCAGGTCCGGGTCGCGGTCCAGGGCGCTGCAGTCCAGGCCGGCGGGGCCGGGGGGCAGTCTGGACAGAAAGCCCAGCGGCTCCTCCCCCGACGCCACCGTCTCCTCTTCGCCTTCCTCCGCCGCCGCCGCCTCCTCCTCCTCTTCCTCCGGCTCCTCGTCCTCCGACGGAGTGGGGGAGGCGGCGGTGACAGCCGCCCCCTCGCCCGACGGCCCCTGGGCGCGCTCCGCTGGTCCCCGGGCAGCCCGCCCCGCCGGGACCATCCTCCACAGCTCCCTCCCGGGGGTCTCGACCAGGCGCACTTCCAGCAGCTCCTCGTCGTCGTCCTCGTCGTCGTCCTCGGGCGCCGCCGCGCTGCCCCCCAAAGGCCCGCCCGCTGCTCGGCGGCCCCCGCGGCCAGGCAGCTGCGGCCCGGGCTTGAGCCGGCTGCCGCCACCGCCACCGCCGGGGGGGCGGGGCCGCGCCTTGGCGGGCGCCCCCTTGCTCTTTTTGCGCGGCCGGTACTTGTAGTCCGGGTAATCCGCCATGTGCTTGAGGCGCAGCCGCTCCGCCTCCCGCACAAACGGGATCTTCTCCGAGTCCTGCAGCAGCTGCCAGCGGCGGCCCAGGCGCTTGGAGATCTCGGCGTTGTGCATGTCGGGCCACTGGTCCATGATCTTCCGCCGCTCGTGCTGCGACCACACCATGAATGCGTTCATCGGTCTCTTAATGTGGCCGCTCGGCGTCTTGCACCAGCCAGGCTCGCGCGCCCCCTCCTCGGCCGGCCCGGGCCCCGGGGGCGGCGGCCCGCCGTCCCGCTTGGCCCTCGCGCCCCGCTGCTGCACCATCGCGCCTGGGCCCGGGGCCGCTAGACGCCGCCGGGGGCCGTCCGCATCCTCCGCGGCTGGGGGTGGGGGAGGAGGCAGCAGCGACGGAGGGGCGGCCCCGCCCCGCAGCTCGGCCCGGCCCCCGCGAGCTGGGGAGCGAGGAGCTGGGCGCTCGGGCCCAACGGACGGCGGGGGGGAGGTCAGCGGCGCGGTCTCAGGCGGGCTCGGCGCGCCCCCGCCGCCTCCGGCAAGTTGCGCCCTGCCGCACGCTGCACATTGTTTTGCGGGGGCGGAGGAATCGCACCCTCCGGCCCCCGCGGGCTCTCCTCGCAGCCTCCTGCTCCGCCGCGGCCCGCCCCGCCGCCTTCCAGTGTCTTTCTCCCCGCGCGGCCCCGCCGGCGCGCGCACCACCCCTCCCCCTCGCCGTCTGCGGGCCGCTGCGGCGCGCGCGGGGCCGCCCCGTGTAAACACCGAGGTGCCCGCTTGGGCTGCGGCCGGGCCACGCCTCGCGCCCGGGCGGCGCGTCACCCGTTGCTGGGCAGAGAAGCTGGTATTTGCATCTCCCAATCGCTGGCTGCCGGGGCGGGGCGGGGCTCGGGCTGCGGGGCTGGGCGGTCTCGCGGCTGGGTTGGAGGGTGTCTGATGAGGTCGGTTTCTTTTCTTAGGCTGGGGACTGGAAAGAGGGTGGGGGAACGCGGAGCGTGCTTCCCATCTGCCTCCGAAAGCTTGTCCCGCCCCACGTTGCCTTTGAAATTTTAGCTTATTCAGTGACACCTGCCGACAGGTGGGACCTCCGCCCCCTCCTCTTTTGGAGGCGTCTTTCTGAACCATCCCAGAACAGAATGTGGGGGGACTCAGGATCGGGAAAGCTCTTCAAGGGACAGACTCCTCGTTTCATAGATGTAGGCCCTGCCTAGTACACACAGGGTTCAGCCACAGAGGGGCTCGACAAATGCTTTTTGTCATAAACCCAACGACTATTTTTTTAAGTCTCGTTTGGAGCGCCACCAGAGTCCTGGGAAAGAAGGGAATATGACGCCCGCTTTCCGGATTTGGAACAAGGAAGACTAGCTGACTAGGGCTCGAATCCCAGGCTCGTGGTCCCAGCTCTCTCTTCCCAGCTCAGCGCCTCTCGCTGGCGCATCTCGCCTACCAGCCAAGGGTCCTGAGTAGGGCTGACTTTCCGCTTTTCACAGTCCTCAGGCGAGGTTCGAGGATGCGGGAGTGTCCCATCCCAGGTCCCACCCCACACCGCAACCAGCCGGTTGCGGGACTAGGGCGCGACGTCCCTCCCGAGTCTGAAGAAGCGTGCGCGGGCACGGGGGCGGAGCCAGGCCAAGGGGCGTGTCCGCGACGCTTGCTCGAGGCGCGTGGAGGGGAGGGGCTGCGCGCTCCCTGCTCACCACGTGTGAGCCCGCTCGGGCACCGTGGGCGGTGTGCTGCCCCCCGGGGGAGGTCACCTTCACGGCGCCATGGGCCCCGGGCGATGGGAGGGGGCGGTGAGGCCTCGCCCCTCGGAATCAGGAGCTGGGAGGGGTCGGGATCAGAGTCTCTAAAGTGGCATTCCGCTGGGGTGTAGTGGGCACTGTGCAGGGCGGAGGGTGAGAGCCTGGAAGCAGACCTCACCCACCACCGGGCGGGTGGGGGCAGAGAGCCCAGCCGGAGGGTGTGGGGCGGGGAGGAAGGGCTGAGGTGCGGCTCTGCAGACACGGGGGGCGGGGTGATGCTCTGGGTGCCCGGGAGGGAAACTGGAGCGTGGCGGGCGGGAGGGGGCGACTCTTAAAGGCACAGGGCGCTCGGAAGGGGAAGGCCCTGCTCCCGACCAAATGGTTCTTCTGCAGATGTATTGGACGCTGAGATTTGGAGATCTCCCGGGTTTGAACCTTCAGAACGGGAGCTTGGCCTGCTCAATCCTCCGTGGAGTCAGAATTACTGTGCTCGTATCCCAGTGCCTCCCTCTCCTCCTTGAAATGGGAAAAAGCAGTTTCTCCCTCATATGGTTGTTGTACAAGTTAAACGGGATAATGGCCGAGAACAAATCCCTGACTCCTAGTAAATGCTCAATAAATATTAGTTATCTGGGACCCCGGGTACTAACAACGTAGAGACACCAACAAAATAAATAAAATTGGCGGGATGTATTTATTTCAAAAAAGGTATCAAAAGTAATTATGGGAAAATTAAATCTTTTTTAAAAATTTTCTAACACTTCTACACTTTTCCCATTTAAGATGAGTTTTATTCTAAATGACATATGAGGGGATGGCCGTCTTTTCCGTGCTTAAGAACCCTCAAAGGTCTTACTCTAACCCTTTGGCTGCTGCTATTGGTCTAAGGGTTTCAGGGGACTGGCCTCCTGAATGTTCCTCAAACACAGAAGGCTTGGGCCCACCTTAGGGCCTTTGTACATGCTATCTCCTTTGCCTGGAAAAATTTTCACCCCCATCCCCACATGGCTGACTCATCTCATTCTAGCCTCAGCTTAAGTGGATTCTCTGGAGAGGTCTGCCCCGTCCACTCTCTGCTGTAGCCCACCCATTCCCTTACATTTCAGGTGCACAGAATTGCTTGTCTCTGACACATTTTCATCATTGTTCATATTTAACTCACTTTATGTTTCTTTGTATTTATTTATACACAATATAATAAAAACCAGTTAAGGGACGCCTGGGTGGCTCGGTCAGCTAAGCATCTGCCTTCAGCTCAGGTCATGTCCTCAGGGTCCTGGGACCAAGTCCCGGTTCATCAGGCTCCTTGCTCCATGGGGAGTCTGTCCCTTTCCGTCTCCTTCTGCCCCTCTTCCACTTGTGCGCGCGCGCGCCCACACTCTCTCTCTCTCTCTCTCTCTCTCTCTAATACATAAAGTCTTAAAAAGAAAAAAAAGAGTTAAATCAGCAACCAACACAATAACTGGTACGTTGACAATAACCTACCTTCTATGAACTCCTTTCCCAACCCATCTCTTCCCTTCCCTTGCCTGAGGTAATGTCTATCCAGAAGCTTCCTTGACATAAAAAAAAGGGGGGGGGGCGCCTGGGTGGCTCAAATGGTTAAGCATCTGCCTTCAGCTCAGGTCATGATCTCCAGGTCCTGGGATCGAACCCTACATCTGCCCCACAGTGGGCTCCCAGCTCAGCAGGGAGTTTGTTTCGCCCTCTCCCTCTGCCCCTCCTCCTGCTTGTGTTCTCTCTGTCTTTCTCTCTCTCTCAAATGAATAAATAAAATCTTTAAAATAAAAAAAACACTTAACAGCTTTGCTGAGATATAATTCACAGACCATACTGTTCAGTCATTTAAAGTGTGTGATGCAATGATATATTCAGAGTTGGGCAACCATCACTGCAATCAATTTTAGACTATCTTCATCAGCCCCCAAAGAAACTCTGTGCTTGTTATCCGTCTCTCCTCCATCTCCTCTACCTCTGCTCTAACCCCTAGCTTTAAGCAACCATTAATCTACGTTGTGTCTCAGTGGATTTGCTGCACCATTTTACATTGCTACCAGTAGTGTGTGAGAGTCACAATTTCTCCTTTCTCTTACTTTTGAAAATACAGTTTCTTAAAAATATATTCTCTTGCCTTTAGCTTTGTCAATAACCTATCACGCTGCATGTAATCTTCTGGTATTTACTTTCTCACTATTACAGTGCTAAGATTCACCTAAAGTATTGCACCTATGTGGGTTTGGTTCATTTTCCATTGTGAGGATATACTACAGTATTCCTATCTGTTGTCCCATCCATGGACAATTAGGTTATTGCCAGGTTTTTGCTCTAATGAAGAGTGTTACTGTTACCAATCCTAAATGTGTCCCTGGAGCTCAAGTGCAGGGTCTCCAGAGTGTATCATGGAAACTGTGATGGCTACACCTGAGGACATGTGAATGCTAACTTTTACAAGATAACGTCAAACTTCAAGTTGCACCAATTAACTTTCACCAGCAGCATAGAAGATATCCTTTTCTTTTTTTTAATCTTTTTTTTTTTTTTTTTAAGAGAGGGAGTGAACATGCATGCTTACTTGTGCGCATGGGGGGATTGGGAAGGGATGGAGAGGGAGAGAATCCCAGCCAGGCAGGCTCCATGCTCAGCCCATGCAGGGGCTCGATCTCACGACCCTGAGATCATGACCTGGGTGGAAACCAAGAGTCGGACGCTTAACCAGCTGAGCCACCCAGGCGCCCCGGAAGAGATCCTTTTCAGCCACGTCTTGTCCAAAGTTTGGTGTTGGTGTTGTCAGACGTCTTCATTTTTGCCCATATTATTCTCATCATCTTTCTATTTGCTTCATGGCACTTTTAACATTCTGGAAGTATTTTATTTGTCCACTAGAATGTAAGATCCAAGAGGGCAGAGATTTTTGTCTGTTTTGTTTTATGGCTCTATCCCTAGGAGAGTGTGAAGCACATAACAGGGGCTCATTAAATATTTTATTTTATTTTTTTAAGATTTTATTTATTTATTTATTTATTTATTTGACAGAGAATGGGACATAGCAAGAGAGGGAACACAAGCAGGGGGAGTGGGAGAGAGAGAAGCAGGCTTCCTGCAGAGCAGGGAGCCAGCCTGAGGTGGGGTTCGATCCCAGGACCCTGGGATCATGACCTGAGCCGATGGCAGACACTTAACGACTGAGCCACCCAGACGGCCCTGTGGGCTCATTAAATATTTACCGAGTGAGTCAAAGGCAGTGTTCTATCAGGAGTACACTCAAATTCCTATGGGAACCCGGAAAAGAAAGTAAAATTTTGGAAAACAAAACCTAAAACTTCAGTCTGCCACTGAGATGTGGTGATTACCAGTGCATGCAGGCTACCCTGAGTCCTTTCAAATGGGTGCCCCAGAGTCTAAATCTTGTAGGCCATAGGTTTTTAAGGCTGGGCTCGCCACTGAGCCGTTCGGTGTAGACTACAGTCGGAGGACGGTGAGGTTTTTCAAGAGATGCTGACCACCGCTACCCAATGGGTCAGGCCACCATCACCTCTCATCCGGGCACCTGCCACACTCTTTTCTGGTCCCTACACCTGCCAAGTCTCCTTCCATTTCATTCTCCCTGAAGCCAGAGTGATGGTATTTTCCAGTCACGAATCTGATTGTGTGTGTTCCCTTCTTAAAGCCCTTCGGTGGTTTCCCCACTACTCTCAAGATGAACACCAGGCTTTCACAAGGCCCACCAGGCCAAGCTTAGTCTGACCCCTACTCATGATCTGACCTCCTCTCCTGCTTTCTTGGTCTTGAGCCAGTTTCCAGCCACATTGCCTCTTCGGTTTGTGGAACAAGCTGGGCTTCCTCCCCACACAGGGTGTTGTGAAGTCCATTCCCGGACCCTTGCCTGCACTCTCACCTCTCTGTCCCTCCTTGTAGCTCTCCTAACCCCATGTCCCTTCCTTTCAGTGCACCAGGGGCCT